GGACGTAGTTGACGCTGACGATGCAGTGCGGGCGGGAGGAGCGGCTGTTGTGCACGATGGTGGCGTAGCTCTGCACCCACACCCAGCCACCGTGTTTGGCCAGGAAGCGGTAGTACTTGGTGGTCACTTGCCCTTTCACCAGCACTGCGGGGACAAAGCGGGGAGAGCCTCAGAGCGGCTCCCGACTCGGTTTCGATCGACCCTGGGAAGGGGGTGCACCACCCCCATACCCCCAGGACCCCGTGGGCGAGGAGAGGGACTGGCAACCCCTTAACATCACACCGGGAGGCAGCGTGGACAGAAACCCCCGTGGGCAAGGGGGTTGGAGACCCGCGGGCAGGGCTGATCTCCGTCCCGGTCAAAGACTATTCGGGGAGATTGATGGGGCAGGGTGAATACACCGGGAGGGGGGCGATTAAATCCACCCACCCACCCCCACCCCGACATAGCGTCATCGAGATTTAATTCTATAAATCTGGCTTTGGGTTTTATCTCTTCTCGCTACATTCTCTTAAGGAAACTTACCGGAAATTAATATCCTTTTTATTCATCTATCCATGTATTAATGTCATCATGATATCAAAATAGAATAAAGAACAGCTCCTCGAATCGGGCTCACTACTGCAGTCAAAATTAGATACACAGATAAGATTTGTGAGACTTGGTGGAAGTGGAACAAAAGTATTTGGATTTCACTGGCATGGCTTTTTGGAGCAAGAAAAAAGGTTTTTTCCTAACCGGAATTTGAAGTGAACTGAGCGCCTGAGGTTTGTGCAGGGGAGTTCTTGTCCTACAACCGGGAGCTGAGAAGGGGGAACTAGCCTTTCACTGCCCATCCCCTGCATCTCCCTCCTGCCTCCACCTCGGAGTTTAGTCTCTAACGACTTGTTTCATTAAAACCTCATACAGATTTTGCTTATTCTCCCCTCCGGTGCTTTCCCCGTTCCGACCTAGAGGTAAATCCTGGCAAACCCAAAGCCCATCCGCAGGGGGAGAAGGCGCGGGGGGAGAGGGGCAGGGTCTCTACAAGAACGTCATCTCCTTACACAAGTGATGAGCGCATCGCAGGTGGAAGGTGTCACAGCCATGGACGTGGTGGTAAAGGGTCTTCTCTATCAAGTCCTGGGGCTCGTAACCTGTTAGCTCAGCTACCCTGCAAGAGACACAAGCAGCAAATACCAGTGGGTGAGAGGGCAGGAGAGGAGTCCTGGGGGACAAGAAGGCAGGGGCTAGGGGAATAGATTTGGGAATAACCTCAGGTCTACCTGGAATCTAAGAATATGAGCTTCATGTCTAGGCTGGCCCGGAACATGAACATATTGCTGTGGAGCTTGATCTCCGTCACGGCGCTGGGCGGCAGCGAGTGGCCCACGGCGACCAAGCCAACGTTTTGGTAGCAGCCGTCGAAGGGGGACATGTCCAGGCTGTATTGGCGGATCTTCAGGTACCCGCTGCAGTGAATGACCTGCCGGAGACAAGGGAAAGCTCGGGGGCTGCCTAGCGGCGGGGGGGGGGGGGGGTGGGGGGTAGGGGCCTGCCACCGCTCCGGCAAAGCGGCACCGTCTGCGGGTTTTCTGCTTTTCTGTTTGGGTTGGGGTTGGGTTTTTTTCCATAAGAGAGTTCAGCGCTGATCTAAGGCCCATTAAAGTCAACGAGACTTTTTTTTTTTTTTTCCACTGACTTAAGTGGTTTTTGGACCACCTCCTAACTACTCTTTTATTATTCTTCTAAAAAGGAAAGACGCGGAAGTGCCAAGCCAGTTACAACTTTGTAATGAAGAGTGTATGCGTGTGAGAGAAAGAGTTTACATGTGTGCGTATGTCACATGTGTAAGATATGTCTATTACACAGATAGAGCAGACGCGACCCGTAGCCAGAATGTATCTTTGGACGTAGATTTCGGTACGTCTCCTAAATGGATCCTCGCAGATGACCGCCGTGTACTTCCACCCTTACTTCTCTATTATTAGGGTGTTTCTTCCCGGGGTAAGTTCAACAGATGTTCTTGTTCTGCACAACATCTCTTTGGGTTCCAGGCACCCACCGCTCTCCGGCGTTGTGCAGCTGACGCAAAAGCGGGGAGAAGGTAGGAGAGTGGGGACTGTCCCCACCGAGGAGCCCTGAGCAGAACCGTGTGAAACACCCGGGTAAAACCCTTGACTTGGAGAGCTGGCCCTGAAGCTGACGAGTTACCCAATAAAGAAACAAATTAACCCAGAGCTCCCGTTGTGTCACCTGACAGCCTCCCAGCCACTTCGGGAACGTCGGTGGTTGCGCGAGGTTCAGTTTAAAAAGCAAAATAAAAAAAAACAAAAAAAAAAAAAAAAAAAAAAAACAAAAACACGGGGAGCTCGATTGCTTGGTTTTGTGGTTTGAGCTCTTTAACCTGAAACTCCGAGAGAAATTCTGGCTCTGAACCACATGAAAGAGCACCGGGTTCGGACAGCCCCCGCGGGCAGAGGGGGCTCATACCCACTCCCGTCCCCGTTTTCACCGCCGAACCAGCGTGCTCGGCGCTGCCGGAGCAGAGGCGCGGGAAGGCTGGGGAGGGGGGGAGAGTGTGTGTGTGTGTAGGTCGTGACCGTGACCGTGGCCGTGGGCACGCACCTTGTAGCCCCCACAGGTCAGGCCCGCGTTCCTCTTGGCCAGGACGCACTTCATCCTCAGGAAAAAGGACCTCTCGATCTCGTACTCTGGGAAAGGGGAAAGGCAGACGTGAGGGGTGAGCCGCGGGCTCCGCCGCCCCTGCGCGGTTCCCTCCGCGGCCGCGCAGGCCAAGTGGGAGGGAGCGGGGGGGACGCGGAGGGCTGTGTACTTTACCCTGCACGAAGTGCGAGTGGTAGGGCTGGTGGGCCGTGAGCACCGCCGTCATTTCATCGTGGTCGGCGGGGTGGATGTACTCGTAAATGCTATTGCCGGTCAGCTCTACCTGTGAGGGAGGAGGAGGGGAGGGAGGAAGGGGTTTCATCGTCGGTACCGCTCATCCTCCCCCTACGCAGCCGGGGGGGGGGGGCAGGCAGGCACGGGGACTAGCAGTCCCCCCCAGCGTACCTGCGACAAGCCCAGGTGCACCGAAGCGGTCTCCGAGATGTACATGATCTTGCCATCCGGAGCCACGACAAATATGAAACCGTCCAACGTCTGCAGGAAAGGGTTGAGGGGTGTGAAGTGTAAATATATCAATAGACAGACAGACAGATAGATCCGCCCATAAAGACAGATAGATCCATGAAGTACCTGTCCCTCGGATTTATTTTAGCAAGGGGCCATTCCTGTTCAGGCTGTGATTATTCAAAAAGTTGGAAGGAAACGGGCAAGTCCTGGACAGGAATCCCTCCAAAGGTCCTGGACCCCTGGGATACAACCCACTTCTCAGAGATACCCAGCTCAAATGGTCTCGGTAATGCAAAGTGACTGGGAAGTATCTAAGACGAGCTCCTGGCTACCCGGTGATTAATATGTCGATCCTAGAAATCCTGAACGCTTCTATTCCACTCCAAATGTCAATGGGAGTTTTAGCGCTTGAATATTTGCTAAGGTGCTTGCTTTAAGCGAGCGAGGAGGATCTGAAACTCTCCGTAGTGTAAATAAGGGACAAGAAAATTTATCAGGCACATTTCAGCAGACATAGACGGGACTTCTGGGTGTGCCGAGGGCAGAATGGTCTCCCAAAAGGCCACACAAGCCCACCAAAAATGCGTGGTGACGGTAGCAACTAATATTTCTTAATATTTCAGGTAGCGGTGAGTTTTCAAATGTGTCCTACCTGGTTTGTGTCTGTGCTTATTTCTGTGCCTGCTGAGCCCAGGACGGCCTCCCCTAACCTGGCTCTAGAGCCTCTCGCTGTTCCTACACCGCCCTGAGGTTCAGTGCATTGCCGGGACTTGTCATCTGGTTAATAATTTGGGAAAAAATCATAATCATGCTTTTATTCTCTCGTCCCAGAAGACACACCGGGATACGCTGCGAACCCCTCGCTGCAGACCCTGTGTTGGCCAGTGCTGGGGCAAAGGACTCAGAGGGACCAAACCACAGCCCCATTACAACGCACGACATCCAACAGCGACGGTTCGTATTTCTGAAGCCCTCCCCCACCCCTTTTCTTTTTTTTTTTTTTTTTTTTATTAAACATGTGAACAGTTAAAAATTAGTTAAGGTGGCAATTAAAAGCTCAGAAGAAGGAATGATTTCCTTAATCATTAATACCACATGGCTGTCGTTTCCAGACCAGTACCTGCAAAAGATGGGATCCCAGTTCCCGTCCAACATTATCCAGTGGGCTGGTTCGGCTAGAGTGGCCCCAGGCTTCTCCAAGTCCTGTTTATTTAAGACACACAAAAAAAGTAAGGTGAGGAGA